AGATTCTTTAACAAGTATTGGTAAAATTCTGGCCTAAAAATATGATTAGCTACTGGGATGTCCTATAAAACTAAACTGTAACTAATTTTAAAATAAAATGTTGATAGCTGTACACTTAGCATATTGTGGGTAAATTTAATGAGGAATATATATATATATATATATATATATATATATATATATATATATATATATATATATATATATATATATATATATAAATATATATATATATATATATATATGTATATATATATATATAGGCTTATACGCACATCGTTATTACAGGCTTGCCTTGTATTTCCCACAGCTGTGAAAAACCCCTGGAGATCTGAGGACGACCCATTGGCCAGACGCGCCTGGATCATGAAGCCTTTAAACGTGTCAGGGTTACCGCTGATTGTTACTGGTAGAAAGTTTCAAATGTCAACAAAATATCAAGCTGTGTCATGACTAACCAGCACTGTGAGCTGTGTAACTTTGGTTAAGCTCTGGGAGTTTATTTCGTGACTCTAACCAGCATAGAGAGTTGAATGATAGCCAACTAGCTGATGCAGAGGCGTAGCGACCCTTTCCGGCGCCCAGGGACAGACTTTCAATCTGGCGCCCCCCCCCCCCCCCCCACCACATATTTTTAGCGCAATTTCCATTCTGGAGAATTGCGATTATTAACTCGTTATTTCTGGGAATGGATGGATGTGTGTCCGCAGCTTTAAGTCGTCTTTAAGTCGTATCTACTCCTCAACGAAGCAATATCGAGGACTAGTTCCAAAGCAAATATGTTAAGCAAGTTCCGAGGATGATTGGGGGCCAAAACAATGCCCGGAATTCCTTCCTGGATTTCCCGGAAAAGCCAAAAAACCTCGAAAAAATGCAGTTTTTGGCCCATATCTCGGCAACCAGACCACTTAGCGACTTGAACCATTTACCAATCGATTCCTGTCATAATTTAGAACAATATTGCCGAAGAAAGTTTTCAAAAATATCCTTTTGTTCGGCCACAAAAAATTAATTAAGAATTTTTAAACTGAGCATCGTGTAGGTCTAGGATGATTTAGCGCAAAGCGCTGAGGTTCGAAAAGGATTTTACCATAGCGAATGAGCGGAGGTTCGAAAGGATTTTTTCTATTTTGTTTTGAATTATTGAAACTACTTGTGTTGCATTATTTATTTGCTGAATATATGATTTATCTCGATTTAAAATTGTTATGGATAACATAAGGAAATTGCGCTTAAATTGTCACTAGACTTTTTATTAACTTGTTTATATTTATAATGCAAAACTGCAGCTAAATTTAGCTTTTAATTTTTTTCCCAACCCATTTTGGCGCCGCCTAGGGTTGGCGCCCGGGGACACATGTACCCCCCCCCTCGCTACGCCTCTGAGCTGATGGAGTAAAAACATCACAAATCAAGCTTATTGCGTTGAATGTGTTTAGAGTAAGGATGTTTGGAAAAGTTGACCAAAACACTAAAAAGTATAGAACTCAATCAAATTGCCAATAGATCAAATGAAGTAGAGTTTGTCTGATTCACTTTGACCTCATAAAAAGAAATTAACAAGGAATTGTTTGGTCAGTGTCATTTGACTATACTGACATACAAGGTACCCATCGAATAACACAATAATTTCAACTCCAGATCAAAGCTACTAGTTTAGTTTAAATGAGGAGTAGGGGTTTAAAAAATCATTTTATACAGAGTTTCTTCCAGGCATCTCGTCGCGGGGGGGGGGGGGGGAAGAAAGGCTATCGCCTCCTCCCCCCCCCCCCCCCGGGGGACGAAATGGAATTTATATATGAATATATACTTTTTCCAATGTCTGCCTCATCCCCCCCCCCCTCTCCAGGAAAATGTATTCCGCCCTCCCGAAAATATCAAGTCTCCTCATCCCTGAGAAAAAAGTCTAAAAGAAACACTGATTTTATATACACGCAAAAAGTGTGATATTTTTTTCTTATCGTTGTAATGCAACATTACTATGTAACTTTAGTTTTAACAGATCAGCGTGCACAAACAGCACACTTATTTTATGTCCGACTAAGGCGCACATTTGGTCATAATTTAGGCATAATAGTGTAATACAAGCACCGATTTTATAAAGCGAATGACATGCATTAGTTTTCTAGAAACTTTAGCCATGTTATTTAATAAGGAAAACAAAACTCACCTGACACCGTCTTGCCAGAGGTGTATGCCGTAGGTGTGAAGGAGATCTTGTAGGGCGGTGTAGTGGTTTGTGGTGATACCCCATGTAACGGTGTAAGGTCTGAACAGGCTGGGTCCACGCCTTTTCCGTTAGGGTAGCACAGGATAGCCCTCAACCAGACGGCCAACAACAGGGCGAGTTTCTGACACCACATTCTAAACCTTCAGTTCTATGGCTGGTCTCAATATGAACACAAACTACTAGCTAAGCCTCTAGTTCTATGGCTGGTCTCAATATGAACACAAACTACTAGCTAAGCCTCTAGTTCTATGGCTGGTCTCAATATGAACACAAACTACTAGCTAAGCCTCTAGTTCTATGGCTGGTCTCAATATGAACACAAACCTCTAGCTAAGTCTCTAGTTCTAATGTCTGGTCTCAATATGAACACAAACCTCTAGCTAAGTCTCTAGTTCTAATGTCTGGTCTCAATATGAACACAAACCTCTAGCTAAGTCTCTAGTTCTAATGTCTGGTCTCAATATGAACACAAACTTCTAGCTAAGGCTCTAGTTCTATGTATGGTCTGAATATGAATACACGCCTCTAGTTTTAATGTCTGGTCTGACAAACTTGGAGAACACCAGGAGACCATAGACCAGGAAGATGCAGACAAAAGCTATAACCGGATATGATTGTACAACGTATAAAAATCGCTGATCCGAGCAGACAGAGAGTGAAATATGTGTCGAAACTTGTCTGAATCTTCAGCATCCAATGCATTGGTCTTCACCTCGTGTGTATTAGGCAGTGGGATTGTGTTGAATAGCTGTTTGGTGCATTTTTTGGCTACATTGTTGTAATCGTATGATTTAAGTGTGTATGTTTGTATGGGGGTGGGGGTGTATAGGCATATGTATGAGACTGTATGCTAGTGGGAAGATTGACATGTGCTGTATATGTGATCGTGTGCGTGTATATGTGAGTGTGTGTGTGTATATGTGAGTGTGTGTGTATGTGAAGGTGTGCGTGTATATGTGAGTGTGTATGTGTATATGTGAGCATATGCATAAGTTTTTTGAGGACATTATAAAACAGATGGCTGGACAAAGATGGTTTAGTTCTAAAGAGGGTTTGTGTGGATAAGTTGTGATGGTGTGGATAAGTTGTGATGGTGTGGATAAGTTGTGATGGTGTGGATAAGTTGTGATGGTGTGGATAAGTTGTGATGTTGTGGATAAGTTGTGATGGTGCGGATAAGTTGTGATGGTGTGGATAAGTTGTGATGGTGTGGATAAGTTGTGATGGTGTGGATAAGTTGTGATGGCATGGATAAGTTGTGATGGTGTGGATAAGTTGTGATGGTGTGGATAAGTTGTGATGGCATGGATAAGTTGTGATGGTGTGGATAAGTTATCACGGTGGTTAGTCTGGATACGTTGGTATGGTGTTTATAGAACCAAGCCATTTAACATATACACAATATGTATAGACAAGTCTCAACAGATAATACCTCTAACCACAACTATCAGAACCACAGGTGGTAACAACACGCAGAACATTCCAGAACAAAATATACCTGGGTCCGTGGCTATGTTTAAACATCCGTGTCATTGGTTTTATGTTCTATCATTTTTTAAACATTGAAAAAATGTATAATTCAATAGGATTTTCAAGAAAGTAAAAATGCTACCATTTCAAATGTTACGATTAATTGGGCAGATGAAGTAGATTTCACTTAATTTTGTGCATTTAAAAGAATAATGTAACCAGCACTATACGCAGCTGCCTTGACTCTCCCTAAGAAATGGCAGGTACTCAACATACATGAGTAAACTCGGGGAAGTACTATTGATTTAAGCTCGGGATTTGAACTCGAGACTATCGTGTTGGCGGTGGTACGCTCTATCATCCGACCACTCCGTCCCGTTAAAGAGAAAAAAACCCTCATATAAAGTGTTTTGTATCACACTATCACGAGGAATCACGTGACTGATGCTACCCCCGTCCAGGTTAGCTGTGATATAAACAACAGGGAGCGATGAACGTGGCTCGTCAAGTATATCTGTCGCCATGGCAACCGACGTCTCATTAGTGAATGAGCTGCACGTGAACCGTGATGACAGCCGTGATGACAGCCGTGACGACAGCCGTGATGACAGCCGTGATGACAGCCGTGATGACAGCCGTGATGACAGTCGTGATGACAGCCGTGATGACAGCCGTGATGACAGTCGTGATCAGTGTTTCTTCCAGACGTTTTTTTCCGGGGGGGGGGGGGGGCACTTGAAATTTTCGGGGGGGGGGGGGGGGCGTTAGACTTTCTTCGGGGGGGGGGGGGGCGGACACTGTTAAAAGTATATATTTTCTATATAAATTTCATTTCGTTCGGGGAGGTGGGTAGAATTTTTTCGGAAGGGATGCCTGGAAGAAACTCTGGCCGTGATGACAACCATAATGACAACCCTGATGACAACCTTGATGACAACCCTGATAACAGCCGTGATAACAACCGTGATGACAACGGTGATGACAACGGTGATGACAACGGTGATGAAAATTGCGTAGACCTGTGATAATTGCTAAAAACAGATCAATACATTGCCTGTCGGGCGATTGGTTTTCCGCTAAGCCATTTGGACTATTAGAATTAATTAATAAATCTGCAAAACATAAATTCAATTTATTTTTAAATCTGGAAATTTGTTTTAACCTAACCTTAAATCAATGAATCTGATGTTTGCTACACGCGTAATTAGAAATAACGAAACATTAAGTTTGTTTTAATTTAGTATTGACAAAAGAAAAGATAGACAAAATTGAATTGTTAATTTGTTTATTTCAAGACGATCTACAAAACTGGACATGTACAGATTTAAAAGCGTTAAAATCAAATACAATGTTTTTTCTTTAGTTTAAAATGTTAACAATCCAGTAGCCTCGCTAGTGTGTTTAAATTTTACCCTGTTAACCTAGAGTCGTTAACTATGGAAAAACAGCGAGATGACTTAAATATTTTATTTTAATTATCCCAAAAACAAAAACCCACTTAGTAAATAAAGTTACATACGCGAGAAGCGGATGTTTAACAATACCGATGTCCGATAATAGACTTCCTAAAATAGGCGTGTTAGGTTGTTAGTAGTTTTGTAATCTTGAATAGTTTTATTGTTAGAAATAAGGGTTAGGCGTATGGTAAGAATAGGGTTAGGGATTAGGGATAGGGTTAGCATTTAAATTAGCAAGCCATGTGTGTATTTTAGTTAACTGCAAGTAACCTAACACCCGTTTTTTTAGAAGATTCTATTATCGGACAATGGTAAAAAAAAAAACCTCCCCCCCCCCCCCGAGCAGCATATCTGAGGTCATCACCAGACGTAAACAACACTCAGGATGGCCAAGATGGCGGCTAGCAAACATCCGGTCTTGTGCCAGGACACACCGACGTCACACGCGAGGGTCTCGCAGTCACAGTCCCCACCCACGCAAACATAGGGGTGGGTGACCTTTCTGGGCGTGGTGGGTGGCCGCCATGTAGCTGGGGGGAGACGGGGATAAAACGTAATCAAATGGAATCAGTATGTGGCCAGATTTAAATGGATTGTCTATTAGGCTATTAGGCTTATCTAAATGACTTAAATAAATCAATGCCCAGGCCGTCTATAAATGACGTCACTCTTGTGGATGGGGAGAGGGTCGGGGGAGTCTTGTGTGAAAGTGGAGGAAGAAGATGGGTTTAATAAATGTGAGTCATTTAAAGGACTTTGTTTTTTATAATTTTTTTTTGTAAAATTTAATAAAAATTGATCAATATTAATAAAAAAATAATTTATAAAATACTGTGGGAAAAAAAATCGAATTTGTAATAGTAATATGAATTGTAAGTAGGTCACTAATGTCTCGTACTCGTACTTGCCAGCTAGTATTTTTAAACCAAATGTGAATATTTTTTATTAACTCGGTAAAAAAACGTATATATATAGGCCTATAAGTTACTTCCGCTATTGTTAAGTTATATTTAACCGTAAACAATGATGTTGGCAAGGTTAAAGAAAAATATAGACTACGTTAATAAATTGTGATTTCGTTAAAAAGAAGCTGCAGTTAGATATTATTTATTCGAATTCTGTTTACGTACCAGTGGTGGGGTTAGAGGTCAGTCTTTGAGTCACCGGGTAGGTGGGCTGACCAGCAGGCACTAGAACCACGGAGGAGGAATCGGCCCAAAAAGTTCTGACATTCTGGACAATGGTCACGCTGGAAACAAACCAAGACAAACTGAATGACGTCACTTAACTTATGAATGACACAAAACATTGTAAATCACTTTTTATCAATATTTTTACCGTAGCTTTATTTTTATCTGCAGTTAAACTTTTGATTCGACTTCAATGTTTTTCTTATTTACAATATATACCGTCGATGAATCGGTATAGTGTTAGTTTCAGTTATGAGTGTAGTCTAATTACCGGAACACGACGTTGCCAACAGAATATTTGGGTGGGATCCAGTTGAATGTTTTGTTTGCCTTGCTGCTGTTGTCACTGTGGACCAGAGCTCGCTGGCGATGAGAGGATATTGACATTTAAGTTGTCGAAATAGCAGAGTTTGTCAGTCCGAACGTCTGTCTGTCGTTCCGTATTTCTGTACATACGTCCATACATATGTCCATCCGTCCGTCTATCGACCTATTCATGTATCCAGCCGTCGATGTACCTATCAATCCACCCACTCATATCTACCCACCCACCCACCCACCCATCCACCTACCTATCCACCCACCCACCCTCCCACCCATCCATCCATCCGTCCATCCACCCATTCACCCACCCACTTACCCACTCACTCAACCACCCACTCACCCACCCACACACCCATCCACCCACCCATCCACCCACCCATCCACCCACCCAACACCCACCCACCCATCCACCCACCCACCCACCCACCCACCATAGACTCACCCCATAACAGGCTTGCCTAGTGTCCATATCTGTACTAAAGTACCCCAGAAGTTCACTAGACGACACACATGCACCCACCCACCCATCCATCCACCCACCCACCCACCCACCCAACCACCCACCCACCCACCATAGACTCACCCCATAACAGGCTTGCCTAGTGTCCATATCTGTACTAAAGTACCCCAGAAGTTCACTAGACGACACACATCCACCCACCCACCCATCCATCCACCCACCCACCCACCCACCCACCCATCCATCCACCCACCCATCCACCCACCCACCCACCACCCACCCACCCACCCACCCACCATAGACTCACCCCATAGCAGGCTTGCCTAGTGTCCATATCTGTACTAAAGTACCCCAGAAGTTCACTAGACGACACACATCCATCCACCCACCCACCCATCCATCCACCCACCCACCCACCCACCCACCCACCCACCCACCCACCATAGACTCACCCCATAACAGGCTTGCCTAGTGTCCATATCTGTACTAAAGTACCCCAGAAGTTCACTAGACGACACACATCCATCCACCCACCCACCCACCCACCCATCCATCCACCCACCCACCCACCCACCCACCCATCCATCCACCCACCCATCCACCCACCCACCCACCACCCACCCACCCACCCACCCACCATAGACTCACCCCATTACAGGCTTGCCTTGTGCCCATATCTGTACTAAAGTACCCCAGAAGTTCACTAGACAACCCGTCAGCCCTCCGTGCTTGGATCATAAAACCTTTGAACGTGTTGGGGTTGCCGCCCAGGGTTACTTAATGTAGGAGAAGTAATTTGATTAATTAATTAATGTTTTAGTTGACTCAGTTTTTAAGCAATTCGTAACTGTAAAAAAATATTTTACATGAAACTGAAATACATTCAAATTACCAACGGAAATACATTCAAATTACCAACTGAAATACAGTCAAACTACCAACGGAAATACATTCTAATTACCAACTGAAATACATTCAAATTACCAACTGAAATACCTTCAAATTACCAACTGCAATACAATCAAATCAAATCCTACAGATAACATAAACTACCATGACGATGTTTCTTAAAGGTTTCTCTAAATTGTTAAACTTATTAAAAAGACATTTTAAAAACAAGATTGATTTCAAAATATTAGCAAAATTATTGATTGAAAACATATTCTTTTTAAATGTTTAGTATTAAAAATTCCTCATTAGACCAAGCGGTCCATTGTGCAGATGAAGTAGAGTTCATATGTTTCTTGACCTCGGCATATAAAGGGAAGGTTTGGTCAGCATTTTTCCCAGCCGCCTTTACTTTCCCTAACATGAGTTAGGTACCCATCAGAGCTGGGTGGACACAAGGATGTTCTACTGACTTGGAGCCGGTTTCCAACTCGGGACCGTCGGGTTAGCATCCTAGCGCTCTTTCACTTTGGCCACGGCGTCCCAAATTACTTTTTACAATATAGTTTTTACTAAATTCGAACTTCGTGATTATAAATACATGTTACAAATAGACTTAAGCTTCGAATGTGCATGCATTAGGTTTGTCTTTTTATTTAACCAAAATGTAAGAAGGGATCAGCAATCATCCTAGCCTTAACTTATCCAACCTAGTCAGGTACTCATTAGAGCTGGGTGGACTCAGAAACGAATATTAATCTCGAGCTTTTCTACATTACCACGATCTTCCACGTTAACACATTTAAGTGGGTATTTCAAATTAATTTCGTTTTGTGTTATTGAAAGTTGAGTAATAAAATTTTATCAGGCAAAAACTTACCTGTCACCGGCTGGTCGGGCGTGTACGAGGTAGGCGTGATGGTCAGGTAGTAGGGGGGCGTCGAGGCTTGGGGCGTCACTCCATGCCCGGGCACCAGGGTCGCGCAGGACGAGTCGACCCCCTGCCCGTTAGGGTAGCAGCTGCCCGGCCCCACCCACACAGCCAGAGCCAACAAGATCACTCTACAGCGCATGGTCGAGGTGGTGGATCACCTAACTCACAAGCTGAAGTGTTGCGAGATTTGAACCAGGGTTTGAGAATTCAAGATTGGAGACACATCAGCCTCGCTCAAACTCTCAAGTACAGCGTGTTCTAGTTTGGTATGTTCTGTGTATCAAACATTGGCACTTTATCGGTAAAGGTTCTCAAAAATACGGTCCTAAATCTAACGTACCTTTTAGCATAACTGGACCACATTTGAAACGATTAATTTGACACCTGGAATCATATTTGCTTTTCGCTACTGTTTAATATTTTTAATAATTCAAACCACGTATCTACATACATACATATATCAAACTCAGCTAACCTGAAATTTTCTCCATTTATTTTTAAATAGTTGTACTATGATATTCGGTAAAGTTTATACTTTTCATACAAGTACTATAGAGCTTACAGTACTACACTGATCTCTGTACAGCTTGTTAACTACACACAAATCAAATAGATTTATTTTTAAGTTCAACATCTACAAATGTTTAATCCTTACAAACGAAAATGATTTTTTTTAAATTTCATTTCGTTCTTTAATCCTCAAGTTTTGGGAACCGCGACTTACCCCCATCTACTCAAATATTGATAGAAGCATCTCAATGAGGGCCGAAGAAGTTGGTATAAAATGTCATGTCAATATGACGCAGCATGAAATGGGTGTGTTACACATCGTTAGGTTTTCTCAAAAATGTTTCACTCATGCGTGAGAGTTAGGACAGGTTTTCTAGCAATGTGGGAATTGTTTTAATAACTGTCATAATAATTGTGTTAATAATTGTCTTAATAATTGTGTTAATAATTGTCTTAATAATTGTGTTAATAATTGTCTTAATAATTGTGTTAATAATTGTCTTAATAATTATCTTAATAATTGTCGTACTAATTGTATTAATGGTTGTCTTAATAATTGTTTTAATAACTTTTTGTTTATTAATTGCCATAATAATTGCCATAATAATTGTCTTAATAATTGCTTAATAACTGTCTTAATAACTGTCTTAATAACTGTCTTAATAACTGTCTTAATAACTGTCTTAATAATTGTCTTAAAAATTATCGAGTTAAGTGTCGACAGCCCAACAACTTTAGGATACTAAAACAATTATCCCACCCGCAAAATATTATCACTTTTGTCAACAATAACTGTACTGTGCTTGATAGATTTTAGTGGACACTACAGTATGAGCTTTGGTCCTTCTCCACACGCTTATATGTGACCAGATTTTAGTAAAGAAAATAAATTACACATTGTGTGTCCTTTAACTAGAAATATAACCTAATGTCTGGTGGGACTTTTACGCCATCTCTGCCAGTCTACTGTGTTCATCAAGTGTATTATTTGATTCTACCATATCGATTAGGCGATGGAATAATATTGAGAAATATCGATATACCAAATCATCTAAATAGTAGTGCAGATGCGTAGCAAGGGGGGGGGGTGAGGACCGCACCGGGTGACACCAGTTAGGGGGGTGACACCAAGGCAAAAAATAGCAAAATATATAGAGAAAAACTTGAGGGGGGTGCAAATCGAAAACTTGAGGGGGGGGGGGGGGGGGGGGGGGGGGCGCAAATCGAAAATTTGAAAGTTTGTCCCCGGGAAGGGTTGCTACGCCTCTGGGGGGGTGACACCATTAAGTGCCGCACCGGGTTACACCCGACCTCACTACGCCGCTGCTGTAGTGGGTTGTTTTTCAAGAAACGAATAAAAGATAACAGGTTTCCATCACATCTATCACATTGTTGTCTATGCAGGACTTACATTAAAACCTTAATATTTCTCACTCAGACCAAATGCTACAGCCTTCACTAATGTAGACGAAGGAAAGACGAGGAATTAGAATATTCTCCTGGTGGTAAAGTTGGGGGAGGTCATCTCTCTGTTGTCTTGTCTCGAGACAAACAAGACCTTAGTTAAAACTTAAAACACTCATTGGCCAGAATTATATACACCTGTTTTGTAAAAATGTTTATTTCTAAATCATCAAATGATTATTTTAATTGTTAATTACAACCACAATCTACTGGGCGAATCGTTGCATTAAAACGAACATGCGTACGATATTTTCTTATATGATTTTTACGATAAAAATATTTGTCTTACTTTTAATAAACCCTATTTATCAGAAGGAAAATATTTTTAAAGAATCGTCATAATGTTTTTTCACAGTTTTAAGTGTAGATATTTCTTCGTTCCTGTTTTTATCGTGATATGTCAATAGTTCTCGACTTATTTCATTATCATTAAAAAAAATGTGTCTCTATACTACTGTCTCTGAACGGTGGGCACCGTCTTTGTATGACAGTAACTGTATGACTGCCTTTGTATGACAGTAACTGTATGACTGTCTTTGTATGACAGTAACTGTATGACTGTCTTTGTATGACAGTAACTGTATGACAGTTTGTGTATGACAGTCTTTGTATGACAGTAACTGTACGACAGTCTTTGCATGACAGTAATTGTACGACAGTCTTTGTATGCCTGTAACTGTACGACAGTCTTTGTATGCCTGTAACTGTACGACAGTCTTTGTATGACAGTAACTGTATGACAGAAACCGTATCACACAGTAAGAGGGTAAGTTGGCGATAATCGATTAGATGTAGAGTTCGATTTTCTGTCCTGCTAAACAGTGTACATACAGTCTACAGATGTACACTGACGCTTCATTAATGCCGCTTGCGGAAGGTTCTGCTTCTAGCGTTTACTGCCATCTCTAGCTAGTGCTGGCTTCACTGTAGATTTGAACTCATACCTTTCAGGATAGCCGCGTTTATTTTCCTTCAGGATGTCTACTTACACTGTGGTGTGGTCTAGAGTTCACTATTCGTCACATCGTTTAATGGAATCAACCAGCCAGCTGATTTTAACTTTTGTCCACAACAGTAATAATCATTCAAGCCTACCCCCCCCCCCTTGCCCCTCAAAAAACAAGAACAGAAAATGTACATATTTTTGATCACTTTTTAGTTAAGTATTTTGTCTCCCCCCCCCCCCCCCCCCCCTCCACCAGCACATCTTTACGTCTTAAAAAAAAAACTTTCCCAACTTCGACATGTGATCGTTTATGTACGACACCCCTCCCCTATCTAAGTTTCACAATACCTAACATAGGATTGACTCAAGCAGTATGATGTAACACTTGACTAGATTTTTACCAGAACACGCTGCAGACTATAAATAGATTTTTAAAAAAGAGATCTCAAGCTGTCAAGTGTTAAGTCGAGATTAAACAAAGCAATATTTGTCGTCGTTATCAGCTCTCAAGACAAGTCGTGTGGCTGAAAAAATATGCCCCCCCCCCCCCCCAATGAAAATGTGCGCGTATCATCAACATTAAGTCGACTGACTGAGTGTGATCATGTCAAACCTCTGCACGATGTTCGTGTGAGGTAATTTTTTTTTAAATGTCTGTTGTCTTACAACTTCTCACTGACTGACAAGTTCTTGGTTTTCAATGAAATAAAGAATGCTGCTTACATAGAGATATTCAGGCACACCAATAGCCCATATCTAATAGTGCACTGCAGATTTTATTTGCTTGCTTCACAATCGACTAAAAATTAAGACCAAGCGATCTGTATACCAGGTGAAGTGGATTTGAATGAAATGTTTTTATACCTCGACATATATTGGTTATTTGATTAGAACAAAGCCCCGCTAGATTTATATATCCAAACTAAAGAACCAGGTCTCCATTTGAGCTGAGCGAACTCAGTTTCAACACGAAGAAAAATATCTAATAATACAAACATTATTTTGACTTTTTTCTCATGTATTTGCAAAAGAGTGTTAATGTACAAAAACTTGAGATTTTAGAATTATTTTTCTTTACATTGTGTAAAAATATTCAATTAAAAAAAACAGCTGTGGAAGTTCTATATTGTACACATTCAACACGTGGCATTATAAGTTAGTTCCGTATTTATTCTACAAGCAGAAGATTGTCAGTGCATCACTAGGCATCAAAATATTATTCATAATTTATTAATATACACTTTAGACCAAGATAGTATTGATGACTTTGTGTATAGACAGATTTAAAATTTAAAACAAACTAGAACAACTTCAATCTGATTGGTCACTGCCAGATGTAAACAACACTCAGGATGGCCAAGATGGCGGCTAGCAAACATCCGGTTTTGTGCCAGGACATGCCCGCGTCGCAAGCGAGGGTCTCGCAGTCACAGTCCCCACCCACACAAACATAGGGGTGGGTGACCTTTCTAGTGGTGCTAGAGGGCTGTCTTGTGGCTGGCGAAATAACAAAAAAAAAATTAATATTAATTTTTTAAAATTAAAACAATTAAACACTGTGTGCTAATCAAGGCTGTATGCGCCCCTGGACGACAACAATTTAGGATTAATCATGCGTAATTGGTTCCTGTGCATTTACTGAGAAACTTCGAAAATATTAAATGTTGACTCTGAATGTGACATTTATAAATGGGAGGCAAATGTTTGTTGCCCACTGTATTTATCCGGACTTAAGGTGATCCATAAAATATTTTATGCTTTTTTTGTAGACTTACGCTAGTCTACTCCCCACCACCTCTCATCTCATACAACGTAACGATTTCGCCATTTTGCCCCAACATCCCAGCATTCATAGTATTTTCTATTTTAAATACATAATTTTAATTATTACTTAAGTTGTTTCCCTTTAAAAGGGATATAACCAAATGAACGAGTTACTGAAGCATTGCTGATCGCTAATTAATACTGAAAATATTGTTGGTCGATAATATTGATAATTTTCTACTCTATAAATAATTATTTTATTAAGAACGAAAAAAATCTGCTAAAATTCAATCTAAAACAAAAATTATATGCAAGTGCAATGACATTTTCACCCCCCCCCCCCAACCCACCAACCCACCAACCCACTCCCTTCCTAAAAGAGTATGACGACAGTTACGCACGCCCTGTTTGTATGTAGTGGCCACTGTTATGTATGTACAAACTTTGGCTCAACTATTACATGACCTTTTCGTACAAACTTTGTTTCAATTTTACATGATCTTTTTTTTTTACAAACTTCGGCCCAAGTAGGCTTTGTAAATATTACTAGTCAACATGCAATCGTTTTAAAAGAAAACCGACATGGAATCAAAATATTCCAATTTGATTTCCTCCGTTCAAACAACTTACTGGGTAAAGTAGGCACCGTGTTCATGCTGTAAGGCACCAGAAGACTGGAGGGAACGTAGGCCCAAAACTTACTCACGCTCTGCACAAACGTCACTCTGTTAAAAGTTATATTATTTAAAAAAAATATTTATTTTAGTTTTTATTTAAAGTTGGAATGGGAGTAGTGTTTGTAGTGGTGAGTAAAACTACTCAACCATCGGCTTAGGTGTGATTTATTTTAAGATTCTTATCTTGATGAAAGGCAGTATTTATTGGCATTTTTAAAAGCATTGTGTCCATTAGAAATACTTTTTAATACTTTTCCAATATTAAACAAAGCAAAATATTTCAAATTATCCTTTATCATCCCCCACCCCATGTTGAGATATAAAACATACAACTAAGAGACCGGTACGTCTAATTACCTGAACACGACGTTACCAGCAAAAAAGGCAGGAGGATTCCATGTGAAGGTTTTAATCAACTTGTTGCTGTCGTCAGCGTGCACTAAAGCTTGCTGGAAATAAAAGGAAGTTGTTGGTAATAGTTTACTGCTGTAGCTGTATACAGCATCCAATTATTCTACCGTTTACCGATCTAATTAAAATGTAATTGCTTGGACCTTGAATCGGATTCAGTAAACTAGTTAGAAGTTAAACATATAATAATAAGTGTGTACGATGGCATGGGAAAACTTCTTAAGATAAAATATTTCTGAGAAAAAAATATTTCGGAGAGACAAAATTTTTAAGACAATTTTTCTGAGACATAAATGTCTGAGACAAAATATTTCCCAGATAAAAATATTTTTATACAAAAAGTTTTTCAAATAAAATATTTATAAAATAAAATATTTATGAGACAAAATATTTCTCAGACAATCCGGTAATAAAGAACTCTGACGTAAGTGAACTCGCTGTGTCCCAATACCCATGTTCCATCACCTGTGTCCCATCACCTGTGTCCCATCACCTGTGTCCTATCACCTGTGTGCCATCACCTGTGTCCCATCACCTGTGTCCCATCACCCATGTCCCATCACCTGTGTCCCATCACCTGTGTCCCATCACCTGTGTCCCATCACCTGTGTCCCATCACCTGTGTCCCACCACCTGTGTCCCATCACCTGTGTGCCATCACCTGTGTCCCATCACCCATCACCTGTGTCCCATCACCCATCACCTGTGTCCCATCACCTGTGTCCCACCACCTGTGTCCCATCACCTGTGTCCCATCACCTGTGTCCCATCACCTGTGTCCCATCACCTGTGTCCCATCACCTGTGTCCCATCACCTGTGTGCCATCACCTGTGTCTCATCACCCATCACCTGTGTCCCATCACCTGTGTCCCACCACCTGTGTCCCACCACCTGTGTCCCATCACCTGTGTCCCATCACCTGTGTCCCATCACCCATCACCTGTGTCCCATCACCCATCACCTGTGTCCCATCACCTGTGTGCCATCACCATGTGTACTCACCCCGTAACACGCCTGTCTGGTACCAGAGTCTCCCGTGAAGGTACCCAACAGCTCAGCGTACGTGACATTAGCCCGACGGGCTTGGATCATGAAACCTTTGAAACTGCTGGGGTTGCCGCTCAGTGTGACTGCAGAGAAAAAGTTGCAGTTTATTTGTTCCGTTTTTAGCGTGATTTTTTTTTTCAAAACTTTGATTAACCAGAACTTTAGTAAACAAAACATTTTAAAAAAATTATTATTAGCGCTCAAAATTTGACGATTTAAATGTTTTGGTGGCATGCACTAATTTAAAATGTAATATTTTTTTATCAGAGGCACAGCGACCCAGGCCTGAGCCAGAGGTGAAAGATCAATTTTTGGCGCTCCCCTCCCCCATTTTAAACTCAATTGATAGAGAAAACAGTTCAATCGGTCTAGAAAGCCAAGTAGTAGTTTATATTTTTAACTTTGATTGTGCTCTTTTATTTTATTTTCTACCCAGTTTGGCGCCCCCATTGTGTCGGCGCCAGGGGCGGCCGCCCCACCCGCCCTACCCTAGCTACGCCTTAGTTTTGTATCACTTGAGACTTCTGAAGGACTAGCCCACCTAGACCACAGATAGCACGTCAATGCTTTTAGCTCGTGCATTTGTATTCGTGTGAACAACTATTACAACTATTACAAAACCTTACCTCTCTAGCAAGTAAAATCTAAATGTCAACAAAACTCACCCGTCACCGGCTGGCCAGGAGTGTACGACGCAGGCGAGACGATGATGTTGTAGGGCGGTGTCGTGGTTTGGGATGCTGCTCCGTGCAGGGGAATCATGTTGGTGCAGGCCGGATCCACACCCACGCCGTTTGGGAAACAGCTGCCAGTTCTCACGGCGATGGCCACAAACAGGGAGATCACCCAGAGAAACATGATGCAGGAGTTACCTCAGTAGCGCCCTAGTGTCAAGATGGCTGAGTTGTCTGCTGGTGATGAAGCTCACAGGACAAGGCGCCTTCCACACACTGAATCTGTTCTTTGTGGTATGCAGGTAGACGAGTATTTGCCGACTCGTCACATAATTTTATTAGAGGTTCTCAAATGTAGCAGAAGTACAGCATGGTTTTTACATAATGTACACAGCATAACATACAATCTAAAAGAAGTTTGTTTTCTTTTTCAAATCCAGATTACCGTACCATCTCACACTCAAAAAAAATATCTTGTCTGAGTAATGTACTTCAATATATATTTTATTATTATTATAAAAAAAATACTCATGAGAAACGTTTGTAAAATTTTGAGAACCCCTGTATTCAAGTGACTGTGAAGTACCTTAACTACTAACCAGTCCAAAGGGAGAAGACCCAGTCCCTCGGCATAAAAGTAATGTCAATATGACGCAATGGAAGGGGCGTGTTTACCATCAAAAGCTAGAGCGTCTCTTCTGTACGCCATGTGAAATCTTAACCCCCATACTGAAGATCTGTGCACCCGGAGTTGTCCCTGATTCAACACAGTTGTCCCTAATTCAACACAGTTGTCCCTAATTCAATAGAGTTGTCCTTTAATATAGTCAACATTTCTTGAACTTTTTTAGTCATTCAATTTAAATTGATTCCGTTTGTATATAAATAGATTGTTGAAAGATCGAGAAAAAATTTGGAGGAATAAAGTCTATACAGTTTAGTCAACACATTTTACCTTACAATTCGGGGAAAGGGGGGGGGGGGGGGGGGGGTTACCGTGGTTACCGTGTTTCCGTGGATTTCTCCCTGAAGTATGTGTTTCCATTAAATCTAATTTAAAACCGAGTTGAAACAATGGTACCTAGTGATCTATCTTTGAAATGTGTGTACTAAAAGCTAGGTCTAGATGTTGCGCTTTATCTGTGAGTGGAGTTCTTTTAGAGAAGATGGGCTTTCTCTGCCCTGAAGATACCAGCCCATCAGATGGGTCCCTGACTTCGTGTTAATTATACTGGCAAAAGTCATAGTTTTTAACTTTAAGATACTATCTACAACATCAGAAACCTCCACGGTAGTTGGTTAACAGCCTATAGCAGTGTTGTATAAGATGACAAACTCTCAGTCTATATCAACATTGATTCCTTTCTGTTCTAGTGTGGATATCTACCTGACATACAAAAAATACATTACAAAACACTCGCAACACATATTTTTAAAATCAGAATTTGACATTACATTTGAGAAATCATGTACTATAACATAAATCAAGATTGTCCGAATAGAAATTTATTATAGTAATATAGATTCTAAAAAATGAGCATATATTAATGTCATGTATTCAAATAGCCACTCTTGGAACTTCCAGCCAGCGAGTCCATGACGGTGCCAGCGTGAACAGTAGACACGACATGACGACACACGGGTGGGTCATCAGTGCCTGACCACTGCTACACGATTTCTTCTCACACGTTTCTGTGGGGTAACACAAAGGTGCTGCTGCTAATTGTGATACTATTCATACATGTACAAACATTAGCTGCGGTGAGGGGGTGATGTGTACCCCATCTGTTCGTCTACACTTTTCCTATCACATTCTTATATCTTCTGATCCACCCCCACCCCATCACAAATCATAAAACACACATCCAGACATATCTAACCAAAACACATAACTGCTCATATAAACCCTAAAAAAAATTCTATTGCTGAAATACATTCATGTATGTTGAAATACCTTCACGTGTGTTGACATACATTCACGTGTGTTGACATACATTCAAGTGTGCTAACATACATTCACGTATTGACATACATTCACGTGTGTTGGCATAGATTCAAGTGTGTTGACATACATTCAAGTGTGCTAACATACATTCACGTATTGACATACATTCACGTGTGTTGACATACATTCACTTGTGTTGACATACATTCACGTGTGTTGACATACATTCACGTGTGTTGACATACATTCATGTGTGTTGTGCTGACATACATTCACGTGTGCTGACATACATTCACGTGCGTTGACATACATTCACGTGCGTTGACATACATTCACTTGTGTTGCCATACATTCACCTGTGTTGACATACATTCACGTGTGCTGACATACATTCACGTGTGCTGACATACATTCACGTGTGCTGACATACATTCGCATGTGTTGACATACATTCACGTGTGCTGACATACATTCGCATGTGTTGACATACATTCACGTGTGCTGACATACATTCGCGTGTGGTGACATACATTTACGTGTGCTGACATACATTCAAGTGTGTTGACATACATGCAAGTGTGCTAACATACATTCACGTGTGTTGACATACATTCACGTGTGCTGACATACATTCACGTGTGTTGACATACATGGACATACATCCCCCCGCTGCTGACCATACCAGTGTAACATGTGCTGTCTAATTGTGTTTTGGTCACCAGGTTCACTTGATCTGTCAGACCAGCGTCCAGCAAGACGTCAGACACGATGTTGGACCAGAAGACGGTAAAGCTGTACACAAATGTCACCCTGTATATGGATGAGATTAGCAACATGTCACAACATCACCAACATTTCACAACATCACCAACATGTCACAACATCACCAACATGTCACAACATCACCAACATGTCACAACATCATCAACATTTCACAACATCACCAACATGTCACAACATCACCAACATGTCACAACATCATCAACATGTCACAACATCACCAACATGTCACAACATCACCAACATGTCACAACGTCACCAACATGTCACAACATCACCAACATGTCACAACATCACCAACATGTCACAACATCACCAACATGTTACAACATCACCAACATGTCACAACATCACCAACATGTCACAACATCACCAACATGTCACAACATCACCAACATGTCACAACATCACCAACATGTCACAACAGCACTAACATGTCACAACATCACCAACATGTCACAACATCACCAACATGTCACAACATCACCAACATGTCACAACATCACTAACATGTCACAACATCCCCAACATGTCACAACATCACTAACATGTCACAACATCACCAACATGTCACAACATCACTAACATGTCACAACATCACCAACATGTCACAACAGCACTAACATGTCACAACCTTGACGAGATCACCAGCAAATCTCTGCTTTTTTGTATTAATTTAGAAAATATGTGTGTGTTTGTGTGTGAGAGAGTGCGCGTGTGTGAGTGTGTTTGTGTGTAGGTGTGTTTGTGTCTGTGTGTCTGTGTATGTGAGTGAGAGTGTGTGTGTGTATTGTATGTGTGTATGTGTGTGTGCAAGTGTGTTTCGCCGTAGCTAAATAAACCCATATATAGGGGTGGAATACAAATCAGGAAATATTTAGTTTACCTAAACACCACGTGACCCACGCTCTGTGATGGCGACGTCCAGTTAAAAGATTTGATCTTCTTGAGGGTTTTGTCCGAATGGACCAAGGCTCTCTACAGAAACAAACACGTAGGACCTATGTAAGTGACACAACTTTGAGCAATTTAAAACAGACTCGTGGAAGAAAAAAACAGTATCTCGCTTAAAAGCAGTTTGATTACTTCCCTTATTTGGCTAATCTCCTTAGCAATCAATTAATTAACCAATCAAAGTCCCGCAACTCCAATCACGACTTACGTCATCACACGCCAGCCTCGTGTTGTCTACAGGCGTGAATCCCCCCAACAGTTCTGTCTGGTCCTGCCTTACGTCTGCTCGCCTCGCCTGAACCATGAACCCTTTGAACCCCGTAGACTCGGGGTTGCACGTGCTTACAGTCACTGCATGTGTTAAACATTCACTGTGTTAGATTCTAGTACTTGATACATAAACCACTGCATGTGTTAAACATTTACTTTGTTAGATTCTAGTACTTGATACATAAACCACTGCATGTGTTAAACATTCACTTTGTTAGATTCTAGTACTTGATACATAAATCATGGCATGTGTTAAACATTCACTTTGTTAGATTCTAGTACTTGATACATAAATCATGGCATGTGTTAAACATTTACTGTGTTAGATTCTAGTACTTGATACATAAATCACTGCGTGTGTTAAACATTCACTGTGTTAGATTCTAGTACTTGATACATAAATCATGGCATGTGTTAAACATTTACTGTGTTAGATTCTAGTACTTGATACATGAATCACTGCATGTGTTAAACAATCACTTTGTTAGAGTCTAGTACTTGATACATAAATCACTGCATGTGTTAAACATTCACTTTGTTAATCACTGCATGTGTTAAACATTCACTTTGTTAGATTCTAGTACTTGATACATAAATCACTGAATGTGTTAAACATTCACTTTGTTAGATTCTAGTACTTGATACATAAATCATGCATGTGTTAAAAATTCACTTTGTTAGATTCTAGAACTTCATACATGAATCACTGCATGTGTTAAACATTCACTGTGTTAGATTCTAGTACTTGATACATGATCACAAACTCACGTTTTACATATAAACTCACTCAGACAACAGCTTTTTCAGAGCTTAAAACACCGTTTTAAAAAAATTACGGGTTTTCAATACTTGTACGTATTTTTCAATTGACAAATCATTTTTTTTAACACTACAGTTATCTGTTTTAAACTTTGTTAGACCGTTCAATTAAATCCGATTCGTATTGAACTCAATCAGATGGCCAGAAAAATATTTAAAACAAACATAAACTTGCTGGCCGGGTTTATGTGAACTGGCCAGATAAAAATGTGAAACAGCTAACCATAAACTTGCTGACCAGGTTTATGTTAACTTGCCAGATAAAAATGTGAATTAACTAACTATAAAATTACTAGCCAGATATTCGTGAAATTGCAAGATAAAAATGTGAAACAACTAACCATAAACTTGCTGGCCAGGCTTGTAAGAATTCGGAGAGAAGGTAAGCTTGTACAGGGGTGGCGAGGGTTGGGGCGCCTCCCCGTGTCGGGGCGTCAAGTCTTGACACGCATCGTCCACATTCTGTCCATTATGTGAGCTCAGGACGGTCCGTGATGTAATGGTCAGCACAAAAACGGCGAGAAACGTCTGGGTGTGGGGATGATCTAAACAAACACCAAGTCACACAAAAAATGGTAACTAATTCATTGGTGATTTACATAATATATTACATTACTATGGAACGGCGGGGGTTGTGTCGTAGCTACCGACCCGGAAAGGTTTGAATTCGATTCCCATACGGGCGTTACTGGGTCCGGCAAACGTTAATGTGAGTTGATAAATGTAGTGGTGGCTGGGAAGAGGGCTGATAATTCTTGCAAGATGTCGAGGTCCGTGTAATACATGGAATCTACTTCATTTGCCTTATCGACTGTATGAGACTGGATAACATAAGCTACGGAGTGGCATTGATTCTAGGGACTGTATCAAACCTTATAGGCGCTACTTACTAAAAGTTGAACCTGTATATTCTTACAGCGTGTCTTGACAATCAAAAGTTGAACCTGTATATTCTTACAGCGTATCTTGACAGTCAAAAGTTGAACCTGTATATTCTTACAGTGTATCTTGAGAGTCAAAAATTGAACCTGTACCTACATACGACGTCTCACGACAAACGTTTAAGCAAACAAGCTCGTTCAAGTTTCTTTTCTCTCGACACATTTTATTTCACTTTTTTTGCAAAGCAAATTTTTCGCTTATAATGTTAGATGAGTGTGTACTGGGAAGGTAGGTGGGGGAGGCAGTGGTGTGTGTGTGTGGGGGGGGTCGATTCGTTTAATGCCGTCATATTTGTTTACTTATCAGAATTGTATAGCGGGTTTAAAGGCTAAACATGCTAGTAACAGTTCATCCAGGTAATTTAAAAAATGTTGTTAATAAAATACTGTTTTAAGTGCGTTTCACAAATATAATGTTTTATTTAATTATTTAGTTTTTATTACCTTGTTAAAAATTAAAGCATATATGCTTAAATTCTTTTTTATGGCTTTACCTATACTACTATTGTTATTGTAATCATTAATTATTATTCCAATATTATTAATCATTAATCGTGAATCGTCATCACTATCACACCATCATCATCATTATCCTTTACATCTTCATCACCATCACCACCACTATCATCATCACCATCACCACCACCATCACCACCACCATCAAAACCATCACCATTACCACCATCATCATCACCATCACTACCACAGCCACCATCACCATGACCACCACCCCTTCTACAACGACAACCACAACCACATCCACAACATCCCCATCATTATTGTTATTATATAATCCTTTTTCTCAACAATAAAAAAAACCATCCTACCTGCCGCCATCATTAGTTGGATGTCACACACCATCAACCATCTGAGATAATTAACCTCACGTTAGATTTTATCCTTATCAGACAGCTATCAGCCTGTAACACCGATCAATGACACTGACAGGACTAAAGTGCCTGTGTTTTCCTGATGCAATATGTGGAGCCACAGTGGGGTGGGGGTTCTGTTTGTATTCAAATGTTATAATATGTGAGGGGAGATAAGAAGTAAGGGAAAGAACTGGACCAAGTTTGTTTAGTTCCGCTTGACTGCTGTCTGTGAGATCGAACAATGTTTATATGGACATACCGTCTGTGTTCGAATTGGGGGGGGGGGTAGATTCTGGTTTTATCCCGGTAAGTTATCCTGGGATTATCCCAGAAAGAATACCTGGAATCACCTTGGAAAGTTCCTGCAGGTGATCCTGAGATTATTAAGTACATGTCCTAGCAGCTAACGGGATTAGGCGTTTGAGATTGTGTACATTTAAACCACACGGAGACAGTGTACACATAGATATATCACATGAAGGCGATGTACACATAGATATATCACATGAAGGCGGTGTACACATAGATATATCACATGAAGTATAATGAAGACGGTGTACACATAGATATATCACATGAAGGCGGTGTACACATAGATATATCACAAGAAGGCGGTGTACACGTAGATATATCACATGAAGTATAATGAAGACGGTGTACACATAGATATATCACATGAAGGCGGTGTACACATAAATATATCACATGAAGGCGGTGTACACGTAGATATATCACATGAAGTATAATGAAAACGGTGTACACATAGATATATCACATGAAGGCGGTGTACACATAGATATACCACATGAAGTATAATGAAAACGGTGTACACATAGATATATCACATGAAGTATAATGTAGACGGTGTACATATAGATATATCACATGAAGGCGGTGTACACATAGATATAGCACATGGATACTGTGTACACACATAAATATAACATGAAAATGCGTGTAGACATGTCATATTGAACTAGAGTTTAATTTACACGTGAAAACCACACGTTTTAGTAATTTGTTCTCAAAAGTTTGCTTATAATTTTAAAAATAAAATTACACTTTTTAAAATCACTAGGTCTAGTAATGACATGTTAATTAACGTTTTATGTAACATAATTTTTATTTTTTATTTTTTGGCTTTTTAAAATATTTTTGGTAACTAAACAAGACTACAGCTGAAGCATTTAATGCATGTGAATAACACTGTTATAATCATGCCCTTGATAACGAAGCGTTACTATTTTAAAACGCGTGTTTATTAATTCAATAATTTTAGCTTGTAGCTGCTTATAAAGTTTAGTGTTCGTAAACCTTTTAGCTCATGACTTGCAGTTTTTACAACCACCGTCAGGTCGTCGCTAGGCGGAGATCACTTGAGTTCAGTCAACTGGCCAACCAGCGATCGAGAAATTGTAAACATAAGCCGTCGCGGAGTGTTGCTATAAATAGCGCATCTCGGAACCCACGATCCTCGGAATACTTTCGGAGGTCAAGGCCTGTCACGCGTGACTTAAGGTGTGACACCTGTGGCATCAGATGGTTATGTTTCTACCCACTAGTGAGTAGTGGGGCTAGCTGGTGTAATGAGGTGGCCCACTTGTGTAGTGAGGTGGCCCACTTGTGTAATGAGGTGGCCCACTTGTGTAGTGAGGTGGCCCACTTGTGTAGTGAGGTGGCCCACTTGTGTAGTGAGGTGGCCCACTTGTGTAGTGAGGTGGCCCACTTGTGTAGTGAGGTGGCCCACTTGTGTAGTGAGGTGGCCCACTTGTGTAGTGAGGTGGCCCACTTGTGTAGTGAGGTGACTCACTTGTGTGTAATGGGGTGGCCCACTTGTGTGTAGTGAGGCTAGCTTGTGTAATGAGGTGGCCCACTGTTTAATGTGGCTCAGTCTTCTTATTCCTTTGTGGCCCCTAGGGAGAAAATGGCTGAAGCTAAACTGATTCACAATAAAACTCATATGGCATGTTAGAGTTTTTTTGTTTGTTTTTTTTTTTTGGTGAATTGTTGATCTTTTGACCTTTTTTGTATTTAAAAATACGTTATTGGTATCGGCGTGGTCGAATGGTAGAGCATAGACTGCTAACCCGAAAGTACTGAGCTAGAATTTGATTCCCTTAAAGAATTTTTGTTGATGCAAAATTCACAAATACGTTGAAATAAAGCAGCTTAATATTTTAAAGGATTAATGTGTGAATGTTAAATTTAAACCCCACATCACCCCTACGCCTTAATGCGTGGAGATAAAAGACGAAAAAAACTCTCAGTTTTTAGAAAATGTAAATGTTTTATTCAAATACAGTAAAGATTTTAAAACTAGATTGCATAGTAAATGACAAATTTCTTCACACAATGCATTTTGTATAATAAGTCATAGCTGGTTGAAATAAACTTTAAGATAAAATAAATAATAAAAGGCAGGATAAAATGACTTTATTTAAAAATGAAAGGGCTGGGGGGAGGGGGGGCGAGTTTGTTAGCATGTTTAAGAATATCTTTTTGTGCTTCTTTTTAAGGAGGCCTAATTTTTTCTTTTACTTAAACATTTGAAATTCAACAACACAGTCATACAAATTTAAGACAATTTCTAAAATAAATGTAAGTAAGTCTTTTATATTGAGTAGCATTTTAACTACATGTTGAAAAAAAATAAACAACAAACACTTTGGGTGGGGGGAAGGGTGGAGTTTTGAGCTCCGTGTTCGACAACCCAAGATCACGATTATATCCCCTTAATTAATATCTAAATTAATAAATAAAAAGTACACTTGTCAGTATATAATATATTGGTATGTAACTCGATCAATATGATTACAGCAGTTGATATTTGATGTTATATAGTCACTCTCAATGATGGTTGTTACAAAAAAAAAATACTTCAACTCATCATTAGACGTTCATTTACTATAGAGTTAAAGAATCGTGTAATATCAATATCATTAGAAGGGTATACATAAAAGTACATAAAATAATGTAATAAGTATGACTAATCACAGATTTGGCAATCCTGTTGACTGATTTAATATCATGACTCTTCTGTCTTAAAATACAAGAATTTATTGCTCTCTTGTGAGGTGGGGATAGTTCACGCGTTTTATTATTATAACACACCAAAGTGATAGGAGAGGTTATGTGTGTTGTGTTATGTTATATGGGGTGGGGCGGTAGTATAAATCAAAGCTGTACAACACTTCCATTGAATTATTTTTTAAATCTCTTCTTAATAATAATATTATTCAATAGACTGACACAACTTAGGGTGATGCTAGAAATGGGGTGTTATATAAAACGTTGTTATCTATCGATCTAACTTAGGGTAGGGTGTGGGTAAACTATGTCTTATTTTCGTGTTAGAATTTTTGTATTAGTTTGTACAAGACTAGCTAGGTCTGGGGTGTTAGGATTAAAATTAGGGTTAGCTTAAAGTCACAAGAGACGGCGTGGTCGAATGGTAGAGCTCACGACCGCTAACCCGAAAGTTTAGAGTCCCTGAGTCCACCCAGCTCTGATGGGTACCTGGTTCACATTAGAGAAACCAAGGCGGCAGGGCATAGTATTGACCACACTCTCCCCGTGTATGCAGAGATCGTTAAACAGATGACCTCTGCTTCATCTGCACTTGTATTTTGGGCACGAACGGGTAAAGATGATGATGAAGACGATGAAGAAGATGATGAAGAAGATGATGGCGATAATTGATGATGAATGTCATCGGTCTGGGGCTGTCTGTGCCTTGAAATAAATGTTTGTCACAAAAAAAAAGCTTGTTCTCTATACTCTGGCATGATAAAACAGAATTGTTTCAAGGATTTCTCCCGCCGTATTTTCATAAGGGTAAACAATGAGGTGTTGTTTAGTTTGTAGGGTAACCCTTGAGACCCACTAGGTGTAAAAAGGACCAAGTCAAGTCTAGTGTTAGGGTAGAGGTTATGGCTAGGTTTAGTGCCCCTGTTAATCTAACAATGAAATCCAAACAATAAACAACTTTCATACAGAAAAGTAGGAATTTTAAAAAAAACTTAATTTTTAAATAAAGAAAATAGGTGAACAGCTTAAATTGTTCTATTGATCGATTCAATAGTGTATGGTAACAACATTGTAGTCGTTTTATTTTTCAATTAAAGGGACGTTATCAAAACAATGTAGTTGTATGCTTGAATCAAAGGGAAACTACCACGGTTAACAAATACGTCTCAGGACGATAAGGAATGAGAGTTCAAGCTTTAACTAGAAACCAGAGAGTGGCCAGATAAACTCCAGCTGCTAGAGATTGTATTAAGCTGTCTGACTTGCCTTTCTAAATCAAACACCTATATACAATAGCAAAGCCTTCATTACCCTCTGTAAATGATAACCATGATTATCATTGGCATTTTTCCCAATGAGCAGAGAATGTTATGGTCTCTATGGCGAAGGGACCTGTTGTTCATGAAGTGGTATAATTTTTTTTTAAATTTTGAATTGCTTCAATCGTAATTTTAAAAATCAAAAACAGTAACAGAACACTAATATTTGGCATGCTACAAACACTTGCTAAATATAAATACAAAATTACAATTATGAAAAAGAATTACACAATTAATTTCATTAACTGTATGTTAAACCAATACAATTGTTAAAAAATTGTCACATAAACCTAAATGGATCAGTTTTGAGTAAGCTTCAGTTATATCCCTTAGATTTGTGAATGTTAAATAGGGGACAAAACCAAGTCAACGTCATCTTACCAAGTTAATTAAACATTAAAATATTATAATGAATTAATAAACATGGTTAAAGATACTAATTAATAATAAAACTTTCAATTAAAAAAACCATAAAAATATGATAATTAAAGTCTACTTTTGTTTAATGTGAGAATTTGAACTTACCAATTATTTAACTTTTACCTACTATTATTTTTTTATTTTATTTTGTATACTTATCTTGGTTAAATACTTTCAATGATACTGGGATCTGTGTGTCCAAGTACTTGGTTTACAATAAAAGTTTCTACTATTAATAAGCAAGTCAACAATCTGTCACTAATTTTTGATTGAAGTTATTTAGATATGGTTTATAACTATAGTGTTTAATATTCAATTTTGACTAACAAGTTAATTTACAGAAATTCAATCACAGTAAACCAAATCCACTTTACAAATATAATATACACAGTTGACTAACAGTGTTCGCAGGAATCTATTTTTTTTAAACATCAAAGATGAATATTTGAGCTGGTTCCTATGACTTTGTAAACTTATATGAAGTAAAACATTTCCTTGTTTAATCTTCCAGATTTTTCTTGCCCAGGGAGATGATGGCAATGACAGCGGCTGTCAGGGCAGCAACAATGAGGACATGAAGGACAAAGATGACGCGCTTGGTGATGATTACCTTGGGAAAAAAAATTTTAAATTTAAAATGGGTTGGTCTAGGTTTGAACTAAATAGAAGAAATGATCCCACAATTTATTCTGAACTATATTACCTAACCCAAGAAATGTTTTTTAGTATTTTAAAATAAATGTTTTACTATTTACATAAGCTTGAACTAAGTAGAAGTCATGATACCACAATTTATTCTGAAATATTTTATCTAGAAATGTTTTTTTCTTTTAGTATATAGAATAAAATGTGTTGAACTATCAAAATAGGCTTGGTCATAACTCCACAATTTATTCTAAACCATATAATCTAAACTAAGATATGTTATTATTTGAATATAATATTTTGACTATCAACATAGACTTGGACTAAGTCATAATTCGACAATTTTTTCTTAATTTCACTATATAGTCCATGAACAGTTTTCTTTTAATATTTACTTAGAGATGTATGTTAGCATTATTATTTGAATATAATATTTTGACTATCAACATAGACTTGGACTAAGTCATAATTCGACAATTTTTTCTTAATTTCACTATATAGTCCATGAACAGTTTTCTTGAAATATTTACTTAGAGATGTATGTTAGCATTATTATTTGAATATAATATTTTGACTATCAACATAGACTTGGACTAAGTCATAATTCGACAATTTTTTCTTAATTTCACTATATAGTCCATGAACAGTTTTCTTGTAATATTTACTTAGAGATGTATGTTAGCATTATTATTTGAATATAATATTTTGACTATCAACATAGACTTGGACTAAGTCATAATTCGACAATTTTTTCTTAATTTCACTATATAGTCCATGAACAGTTTTCTTGTATTATTTACTTAGAGATGTATGTTAGCATGTCTATTGGGAAAAAAAACTTACCCATCGGCTTTCTACTGTAGGCTCCATCTTAGGCTCGCTGCCACTGTTTAGTTCGTAAACATCACTTCGGTCTATTAAAATATAAAGGGTAATTTAAATGTAAGTCATCACAGGTTATGTATCTTTTTCCACATTAAATGATGTTCCCTAATAGAATACTAGTCATGAAAATATCAAATACAACTTCAAAATGTATTTTGAGATATTTTGGTAGCCCTGTTCAAAATTATCATATAATTAAACCCTAATTTTCTTATGCATACTTTTTCTATTATAAACGTGATTATCTAATTTGACTTTCCCTTCATTTTAAAAACTTGTTTAATCATATAATTCGTTGAAATTTATTTTTTTCAAGTACCCTTACATCTTTTAAGTTTTACATGCCCTGTCTTGACATTTCAACTAACTTTTCTTAAACTTTCATCTCATCTTTTTTAAACTTTAATCTCACCTTTTTAAAGCATATCTCACCTTTTTAAAGTATATCTCACCTTTCTTAAAGTATATCTCACCTTTCTTAAAGTATATCTCACCTTTCTTAAGGTATCTCACCTTTCTTAAGGTATCTCACCTTTCTTAAAGTATATCTCACCTTTTTTAAAGTATACCTCACCTTTCTTGAGGTATCTCACCTTTCTTAAGGTATATCTTACCTTTCTTAAAGTATATCTCACCTTTCTTTAAGTATATCTCACCTTTTTTCCTTCCAATACAAGAAATAAACTCCAGCAGAAGCTCCACAAAAATCTGCCATGCTACGTATGCTGCCAGTATGTAGACCACGTAGTACGGACAATCAGCGTCGGGTAGCTGAACCCCAAAAAATATGGTGATGACTAAATGAAAAGAGGTTAAAGGTTACAGTCTCATACATTTATTGAAAGGAACAAATTTTTAGATATATAATTTTAACTGATATTTTAAAGTCATACAAGATTTAATTTACACATGACCTACTTCCTAAAATATGAGCAGCTGTTCCAACAAACCAATGCGCCCAGTTAAAGATTGGTCTCTTGGCTGTTCCAGGATGTGGTCGGAAAAATGCCATAATAGGCTAAGGGGAGGTAAGAATAGTTTTTCCAGTAAGTAAATATAGTTTAAATCGAAATTCTTAGACTTTTTATTTTCATTATGAAACACTTCAATATTTTAATGAATATGTGTACATCCTCAAAAAATAATTAAACAACTTTATTTATGTTACTAACATTTTTATCACATAAAACATTTACATTTGCTTTAAAATTATCTGGAGTGATTACACTTACATTGATTAACGTCAGTGCCATTACTATGACCCCCATTATGGGGTGTCCCTCTAAAAACTTTTTTCCTTCAACATCAATCTGAAAAGTTAAAGCCTAATTGAAGAATTCCTGAGGGTTTTTTTTCAGTTATCATCATACAATTTTATTAACAAAGCGTATTCGAATAATTTTTGAAGCAAATCTTTTTTTGTCCACTACTTAGTAGCCTCAAGAATAGGCTACACTGCAAGCTAGACCTATCATGACACCACAAGTAAGATTTCAGATTTTCTTTTCTGTTTAAAATAATCATCTTCATTTAAATTATTTAAATAATTATTTAAATAATGTAAATTAAATCTTTAATTTTAATTATATTAAACTTAATTATAAAAATCTAGCTGAAAGTAAAACTTTAAAAAATACTTACATAACTCCATTCTTTTTCCTTGACAAATATAATGACAAAAGCAGCTGCAGTTGCACAAAATACAATCACCATGCTAAATCTGTGGATCTAAAATTAATATTAAAGATTTTAATAAGTTTAATCAGTTTTCTTAAAGTGTTCAAAACTACTATTTTATAAGGGGTTGCTTCCCTTATATAGGATAATTCAAAGTAAAATTATTGTTTGGTAAGAACAAATCGTCTTTTATTTCATTTTTTATTTTAAATGCTGATTTCATTATCTTGACAGTTATGTTTTTATTTTAAAGCTAAATTAAAGTAATACTTCTATTAATAACACATATATAATGTATAAACCTACAAGGAACCAGGCTTTCTGGGAACACAAGCTGTACTTCCACACAGGTTTGTAGTACCTGGCCGCCACAATACCAACACTTGCAAAGAAAACCCAGGCCCCCACCATTAAACTACCTGGAAATGTATAAACAAAAACATTAATTTAAGGCAAATTAAATAAGCTTATTTTTAGATATTTACCTGATTAGTTAAGGAAAACAAATACTACTGTGAATTACAGCACTGAATAGATAAAAATATACATTTTACTTTGGAAGGACATATCAGTTGTATTTCTACTCTAGCCCTGGTGCCAGTATTAGCCCTCTCCCTAACCATGAGCCTAGATTGATACTATCTGATATTGCTACTGTTTCTATGAAACCCTAAGTATCTTAACAAAGATGAATTCTGGCTCCTACTTTGACTACACAAAATCGATGAACTCCGCACTCAACAGTTGAAGAGAATTCATAAGATAAACATAAGAGTGACTCACCATGAGCTTTAATCAAAGGAATTCATAAGATAAACATTAGAGAGACTCACCATGTGCTTTAATCAAAGGAATTCATAAACATTAGAGAGACTCACCATGAGATTTAATCAAAGGAATTCATAAGATAAACATTAGAGTGACTCACCATGAGCTTTAATCAAAGTAATTCATAAGATAAACATTAGAGAGACTCACCATGAGCTTTAATCAAAGGAATTCATAAGATAAACATTAGAGAGACTCACCATGAGCTTTAATCAAAGGAATTCATAAGATAAACATTAGAGTGACTCACCATGAGCTTTCATCAAAGGAATTCATAAGATAAACATTAGAGTGACTCACCATGAGCTTTAATCAAAGGAATTCATAAGATAAACATAAGAGAGACTCACCATGAGCTTTAATCAAAGGAATTCATAAGATAAACATTAGAGAGACTCACCATGAGCTTTAATCAAAGGAATTCATAAGATAAACATTACAGTGACTCACCATGAGCTTTAATCAAAGGAATTCATAAGATAAACATTAGAGAGACTCACCATGAGCTTTAATCAAAGGAATTCATAAGATAAACATTACAGTGACTCACAATGAGCTTTAATCAAAGGAATTCATAAGATAAACATTAGAGAGACTCACCATGTGCTTTAATCAAAGGAATTCATAAACATTAGAGAGACTCACCATGAGATTTAATCAAAGGAATTCATAAGATAAACATTAGAGTGACTCACCATGAGCTTTCATCAAAGTAATTCATAAGATAAACATTAGAGAGACTCACCATGAGCTTTAATCAAAGGAATTCATAAGATAAACATTAGAGTGACTCACCATGAGCTTTAATCAAAGGAATTCATAAGATAAACATTAGAGAGACTCACCATGAGCTTTAATCAAAGGAATTCATAAGATAAACATTAGAGTGACTCACCATGAGCTTTAATCAAAGGAATTCATAAGATAAACATTAGAGTGACTCACCATGAGCTTTAATCAAAGGAATTCATAAGATAAACATTAGAGAGACTCACCATGAGCTTTAATCAAAGGAATTCATAAGATAAACATTAGAGAGACTCACCAAGAGCTTTAATCAAAGGAATTCATAAGATAAACATTAGAGAGACTCACCAAGAGCTTTAATCAAAGGAATTCATAAGATAAACATTACAGAGACTCACCAAGAGCTTTAATCAAAGGAATTCATAAGATAAACATTAGAGAGACTCACCATGAGCTTTAATCAAAGCACTCTCCTCCTCCACCTTGCCCAGGTCTACCCATGAGTCAATGCTGACCTGCTGCTCAGAGATGTGTCTGTCTTGATTGTGATCTTGGATGTACGCAACGTTCTCTGTCGGTAACAATAGAGGTAAAATAAACAGTTACATTTTCTTAAATAAATTATCCATTTTATTCATTGATGCATTGAATTATTATAACAAATTTGTTTAAATCATTAATTTGTTACATTTTAGTGATAGGATTTCAGTTTTCCAATATGGTATAGATTTATTAACATCAGAATTATTTAAATTATAAAATTATTTATTTGTTAGAAATTGTAATACAATAATATAATTTCATTTTCATTATAATTATAATTATTTCTACTTCAGCTTAAAGACTTAAGATAAGAGAATTTATTTACACACTACCACAGTTAAGAAAAGTGAAACATCTTTTAACATTTAATGTGCAGCTATAGCAGTAAAGAACTAAATATAAAAACTAGCAAAGACCTCTAACAAACTCTTTTCAGTAACATTATGAGTTGCTTTTGCCATTACAATAGAAGGAAGAATTTACTGTTAAACTCTATTTGTTAACCCCTGAATTCAAAAACTTACTGTCAACACTAGCGCGGCCTCTTACAAACAGTAAAGTCCACGATTTTGTGAGATCGTAACGCTTGTCTTTTCCAGCTATGGGCCTCTGGAAATAACAGCTTAGAATACCATCAACATACATGCTGCTTGTCAGCTTCACTTCCTGTGTGATATAAAAAATTGTAATAGTCATTTAAGAAGTGATGTAAAAATTTACTTTTTTGTCTAAAACTTTATACAACAACTTTTCAAATTGGATTTTAAATCAGACATTTTTTGTAGGCCTACTTTTTGAACTGACTATAAATAAAGACTCGTTGAGTGGGAAAATATTAGGTGAAGGCTACAACTCACTTGACTGTTAACCTGAAAGTCTCGAGTTTGAATTTGGGTCAGTAAAACATTCCTATGTAACAAGCTCTGATGGGCACCTAACTCACATTAGGGAAAGTTAAGATGGCTGGGCATAATTCTGACAACACCATCCTTTCATATACTGAGATCAAAGAAACAGGTGAACTCTACTTCACTTGCCCCATGGACCATCAGGTTCAGAAATTATTTTTATTTTTTTCCCCCAACTTACACTATCATTAAACATTGATGGAGCAACTGTTCCTGTAGTGTATCCAGTAAACTTGACAATGGTGCTGGAGTTGGAACCAAAGGCACAACCCATTACACTGTCATCCCCCTGTAAGACATTGGATAAAACAATGTGCTAGATTAAGGATTAAATGGATTGAAACACTGACATTTTATGCTAAATATACAAGCTACATATACTTGGTGTAACGAACATACAGAAATATTGAATAGAAAAAAATTGATTATTTTAGTGGTGAAGAAGTCCAATGTATCTAAGAGAAAAGGTCATGAGTTTTATTTCATCAAACAATATGAAAAGAGATAGCATTAAAACTATTAATACGCACCAGTAATAGGTATGACAGTTTACATAATAAATACACACTAATTCTCCTGTATTAATTAATACAATTGATATACTAATCCACATATTAAAAAGTTAAAAACTAATACTACACACAGCAGTATAATACTGCATTTAATACACAGCTATCTTGCAAACATTCAAAATAAAATACATTCATGAATTCACACATAACAAGGAAAAAAATGTATGCACAAAATACATTTAAAAACAAATAAATACATGAATTCACACATAACATGGAAACAAGAGTACACACAAAATAATGAAAACACTAACACACATAAAAGAACACATATAAAACACATGAGCTCACCATCTCTGAATCATACGAGAACCCTAGTGCCAGGTATGAGCCACTGGCAAACGCCACGGCTGCGGTAATGTTGATGATGGCGTCACTGTTGTTGAATCCCCCCTGCTCCCAGGCTATGATGTAGTTACACTGGGTGTCAGAACATGAGGAGAAGCAGCCCATGCTCTGGCCACACCCAATGGGTTTTGGGAAAGTTCCAGAAGGAACTGGAGTTAGGGTTGTTGTCACTGGGGGTTGTGTCACGTTGGATTCTGAAAGTGTGAAATTAAATTATGTTCTAAAAATTTGATTGACAATTTTGTATTATTTTGTTGGATGGTTTCTATATGCTTAAAATGCACATTTTTATTTTATTATTTTCCTCTGGATTCTAAAAGATAGAGATATGTGAGCAATTTACATTTTAAATAGAAACACTCAGTATTTAATTTACATTTTTTATTTCTGAATATTTTAAGTGTGATTTAAGAGTATTACAAAATACGTTATTTAAACAAGTTGGTATATTATTTAATTGAATTCTAACAGATTGAAGTATAATTCCAAAAACCACTTTTTTTTTCAAGGCGTTGATAAATTTATAACATTGACATTATATCCCATGTTATAGATTGTTTACAAAAAGTATAAACACAAAAGTAAAACAGGCTACAATTGGTATTGGATTGTCAATTACGAATGTGTTAATTATAATTCTTGAAACAATAGCAAACTAAATTAATTTAAATTTTAAAAAAAAATGTTAATAACTAGTTTAAAATAATCCTAAATTGAAAATGAAATGTCACATACGACTGCAAGCTGGGGTAATATCAGATTCGTTCAACTGAATATGGGTTGTAAGGTTGGCATCTTGTAGAACTTCAGATTGGAGATTAACCCAGAATGTATTGTAATCTTTCACAAACGTCACCCTGTTAGAAATTACACAAAAACAGCAGTAGAGTAAAAAAAAAAACAATAGAGTAAAAAAAAACAGCAGAGTAAAAAAAAACAGTAGGCTAAAAAAGGTAGAATTAAAAAAACAGTAGAGTAAAAAACAGTAGAGTAACAAACCAGTCGAGTAAAAAAAAACATCCAAGTTAAAAGAATGCAAATGTTTGAAAATAACTAGTATTTTCTCTCTAACAAATTATTTTTAAATGTGGGATACAATAGGGCTAGTAAGTAGGTCACCAACCAGTTCTACAGCTCAATAAACCTGCATGAGCCATAGAACTGGTTGGTGACCTACTTACCAGCCATATTCGTGTCATGCCCTAATCATCGCACACAATTAAGTTTATTAATCAAACTGTTTTTTATTTAAATCTGCCAAATGCACCAACCTGAAGACTAAATCCCCCACTGGGGTAGGGGGTGGATTCCACTGCAATAGCATCGACTGTTTTACAATGTCGTTGTTATGTACAAGTGCTGACTGAAAAATTGGGGGGGGGGGGGTAATTTATTTGTATATTATAAGCTATAAAGCATATATATATATATATATATATATATATATATATATATATATATATATATATATATATATATCTTGCAACATGTATATATACTATCATTACCCTTTACCAATGTACAAACAGTGAAAATCACAATACAAGTTATGCACATTAAAAAAGTAAGCAAGCATTTGTAAAATGAAGGGTCAGGCGCGGTTTATTATTATGTAATATGGAGTGGTGATGCGGAACAGAGTAATGACATACAGTGTTCATCACTGCCTTTGATAGGCTTTAAGTGTTGTTGTTTTTTTTAATTTCTGACGTTTTATATATTTCGATAAACAATTTAATACAACCGGTTAAACATTTATTTAAATTTAAAAAAAAATTTGCAGTCATTTCTAATAATGATGTAACCGGTGATTCTTATCTAAAACAATATGATTCCCCTAATTTATGTTTAAAAACTGAGGTGACACTAGTTACACACAGACACACACACATACACACACACTACTTACACACAAACACATACACACACACTACTTACACACACACACAAACACACTACTTACACACACATATACACACACATACACACACATATACACACACATACACACACACACTACTTACACCACTGCAGGCTGGGTTTGTGCCCGCAACAACGCTGAAGTTGCCGATCATGTCCGTCGAGTTGGACCCTGCTCGCCTGGCCTGTATCATGAAACCCTTGAAGCCATCTGTAGGGCTACAGCTGCTGATGTTGACTGTAATGGCAGGCACGTGAGATGTAAGATGTAATGACAGGCACGTGAGATGTAAGATGTAATGACAGGCATGTGAGATGTAATGACAGGCACGTGAGATGTAAGATGTAATGGCAGGCACGTGAGATGTAATGACAGGCACTTGAGATGTAAGATGTAATGACAGGCACGTGAGATGTAAGACGTAATGACAGGCACGTGAGATGTAATGACAGGCACGTGTGATGTAAGATGTAATGACACGCACGTGTGATGTAAGATGTAATGACAGGCACGTGAGATGTAAGATGTAATGACACGCACGTGTGATGTAAGATGTAATGACAGGCACGTGAGATGTAAGATGTAATGACAGGCACGGAAGATGTAAGATGTAATGACAGGCACATGTGATGTAAGATGTAATGACAGGCACGTGAGATGTAAGATGTAATGACAGACACGTGAGATGTAAGTTGTAATGACGGGTACGTGAGATGTAATGACAGGCACGTGAGATGTAAGATGTAATGACAGGCACGGGAGATGTAATGACAGGCACGGGAGATGTAAGATGTAATGGCCTTGATTATTAAGGTTTAGAGTAGGTTGTCCGTGTTTGTGTGTTAGAGAGTTGTTTAATTTAACCTACCTGTGATAGGCGTACTGGAGTTGTATTGGGCGGGGGTGAAAGTAATCTGATAGGGGGGAGCTGTGATCTGCGGGGGAGGGTAGTGCTGGGGTGCCAGGCTGCTGCAGGCGCCATCAATGTTTTGACCGTTGCTGTGTCCGCTTGATGGAACAGCCCAGAGTCCAAGAAGCAGGACAGCTGTGTAGGTGTACCGTGTCCAGGGTCTGGCTGTCATCGTCATCTGTAAAACAGAAAATACACTGAAACTCAGAGGTGTAGCGATGGGGGGCAGGGGGTACATATGTCCCCGGGCGCCAACCTTAGGGGGCGCCAAAATGGGTTGTAAAAACAAATTAAAATGTCATTTTAGCTGCATTTTTGCAATTTGAGGGGGGGGGGGGGGGTGAAAATCGAAAGTTTGAGGGGGGAGGGGGTGCAAATCGAAAATTTGCTCCCGAGGGGCGCGCCAAATTGAAAGTCTGTCCCCGGGCGCCGGGAAGGGTCGCTACGCCTCTGCTGAAACTGTGTGGTTGCAGTAGCCCAGAGGAGTAGTAAGGGTAGGGCGGGTGGGGCGGCTGTCCCGAGCGCCGACAATAGGGGGCGCCAGGGGTAGAAAAACAATTAAAAGATCTTTCTGGGCTTCATTGCTGAATTATACGCAGTCAAAGTTAAGAAAATAGATTGTTACATGACTTTAAATACTGATTTAACATTTGTGTAAGAAATTTCTTGACAGTAAAATAAAACTTAAGAACGATAAGTGGTAAAAAATTGCATATTTGTTGGGGGTAGGGGGAAGGGGGGGGGAAGGGGGCGCAAAATTAATAGTTCGCCGGATTGGGTCACTACACCTCTGCTATAGCCTATAGCCAGTGCCGGCGCCAGGTTATTTGGCGCCCTAGACAAAACTTATTAAACGCCCCCTTTCACAAAAATTAATTACTAAAACATTTGTATAAGAAAACAATTCATTAAATGTGACATATTAATTTATTATCGATTGCATACACGTTATAAGTTTAATTTACGACTAAGACTGTAAGTCTACTAACATTAAGTATTGCAATCTACAACGGCTACTGATGTATTTGTTTTTCAACTTGATAATACAAAAAAAACCTAACAAACTATTTTGTTAAGAACTTAAGCTCTATATAATTTTTACAGTAGCAAATAATAACTTAAAGTTGTATCCATATGTAAGCGGTTAGACTTAAGTTCAGGAATTTTAATTGAATGTAAAATTAATCAACAAATTATCTCCGATTTGAAAATCCAAATAAAAAAAATTTTATTCAAGGGAAATAACTTTCACAAGAATAGCTAAATTAACCAAGTATAACTAAGACATGTTTGAAAAAGACAATAAAACGTTTTAAATTTCATTAAGTAATATTTCTAACAAATCTTCCATATTAGCTATGTAGCATTGTGACAACAATATATTTTACGTATTGAATACTTATCTGTAGGTTTTGTTTGAAAGTCCAAAAACGATAGCTTTATTACAACATACTTCCATTCAATATTGATAGCATACATATGACTGTATCTTTGTTTTGTACTGTTTATAAACAATTTTGGATCCCTTAAATAAAGGGACGTCTTTCAAAAATCAAACACGGGTTACTGTTTTAGACATTGCTAGAATTATTTATTTTTTATAAAAAAAAATTATTATTAGAAAAAAAAACAAAGTTTACAGTTTGTTATAAATTCCATCCTATTTAATAAATATTAATACTTTTAGAGTGGCAATATATATTCCTAAAAACAAGATTTTTCAACTAGAGAACGCCTACCTTTATTTGTAGCAGTGGCGTAGGCAAAGGGGGTTAGGGGGGGGGGTTATAACCCCTCCCATGAACTCACCCATATATATATATATATATATATATATATATATATATATATATATATATATATATATATATATATATATATAGATATATATATATATATATATATATATGATTTTATACATATGGAAAATATTTGAACCCCTCCCATGACCAATTCCTGGCTACGCTACTGATTTGTAGTGTGTTCCGTCCTGAATTTAAATAATTTAACTTACGACAAACTCGACTACTCGATATACTCTACTACATTCACAACACATATCAAACTTCGATACCTAAACATAACTAGACTCGAAGCTCCAGAACTACGACACCAACTCGTTTACTTCACCAAACTCTACAAATGGTACTCCCAATCAACAACGATTTCACTGGAGCTACTACTACACTTTAACAGTCAATATAATTCGATACCACAAGAATCAATACTCACGAACTCCAGAACTACAATACATCATCACCTGCATTCTCATTTCTCTACGACCACTTTAGGGGTCATCCATAAATGACGTCACGCTTTTTTTGACGATTTTTACCTCCCCCCTCTTCCCCTCCGTCACACTTCGTCACAAAAAGCCAGACCCCCCCCCCCCTAAAATGACGTCACACCTCAACCTACAACCCCCCTCAAAATTGCAGTTCAATTTTTTTTAAACATTGATATTTTTCCAAAATCGTGTCTAAACTATTACAATTTATTAAAACAGTTATCTAAAACGCGAAATAACGTCTAAAATTCGTTTTCTAACATTGCTTTTTTATAATGCAAAAATGTGACGTCGCAACATCTGACCCCCCACCCCTCATCACACATCGTCACAAAATTACGGACCCCCCCCTCCCCCCTACGAGTGTGACGTCATTTATGGATGACCCTTTATACCTACGAAACCATATCACTATCAGCAACAGCCTTCCGCCGTTACTCCAAAATCTAAAAGAGTCATCAATACTTACCAAAGAAGTGACAATACTTTGAACACCCCCCCCCCCCCCGTCATTACAAAACCCCATTTACCAAGACAGATTTCTAATTCAAAATCAGAGAAAACGAGACTTACAAGCCCTATTAAAATGTTCGAAATTTAAATTACGAACATATTTAATCGTTTTTTACATCAGTTATGTGACACCAAATTAAAAAGGCAAAGTGACTGGTAAAAAGCGCCCCTACTTTTCCTACTTAGGGAGGTGGGGGTTGCATTTTCACCATAGCGAATAAATATAGGCCTATATAGACCTATTTTTGGGGTGGGGGTGCAAAATTGATAGTTCGTCCTGGGTGCCGAAATAGATCGCTACTCCTTTATTAAAGTTATTCATTATTAGGTACTTTTTGATAATAGCGATTAAACCTATAGCGCCCCCTTTAGGGATGGAGCCCTAGACGACCGCCTAGTTCGCCTTATAGGTAGCGCCGGCCCTGCTTATAGCTACGTGAATATGAGTTTCATTTCTTTCTTCACGTACACCACCAAGAGGTGTCTCCCATAGCCAGGCAGGCCTCAACACGGCCAACTTCGACTGACTGGCTTGGATATGTTTGATTACCGTGTATCGGTCACTTCTGTCCTTTGTTGATCACCAGGCTCATCCTCCACTCCACTGAATGCAGGGTAACTCGTACCCCGCCGTCCAGTATCCGGCTTGACCGTAGGGGTAGTTCGGACCTAAAAAGTTTGAACGAGATCTTCCTTCCCTCCCCTGGTGCATCGTAACGCCTAGTTCGCGAGGATATTGACATTAAAACACACTATATAATTTTTAATGTAAAAATCCACGAATCGACTTAATTCAAACACGGATGAGCTATTTAATAAATAGATCTAGTAATCGTTTGTTTTCGACAAAATTAATCGAACTCCCAAACAGTTATTTATTGGTTACTTCCCTTTCCCCAAATAAAATTATCAGCTCTATGAATATTATTTTAGGGCGGTGTGGTTAATTAATTAGAAGGATAATTAAATTGCCATGTCACTTAAACGGTGGTCTGATTGGTGTGACGATATGTGACAGTGATGCAAAGGTAAAACAACGTTTTTTCTAAAGCGTGACGGCATTTATGAACGACCCTCCCTTGTCCCCCTCCTCCTTCCCCCCCCCCCCCCCCCTCATAGCAAGTTTACTTTATTTTTAAATTTTGTAGTTTTAATTCATTAAATTTCAAGAAAAAAAATAAATTCTGCCTATGTTAACCCAGTTAGATGTACACTCTACGCTATTTTTAGCATGAGAAACCAAGAGTAACCGAAACTTTTGCTAAAAGTTTAGTTACTAGAGATTCGCACAATTGTACAGTTGTAAATAGGTTGTTAATAGGTTTCCAGTAACTGTCTAATAGTCTCAGTTCCCTAGGTAAAAAGTTAAGAACAGTGGCATTTCAACTGTTTTAGAAAGTTGAGAAAATGGCATTTCAACTGTTTTAGAAAGTTGAGAAAATGACATTTCAACTGTTTTAGAAAGTTGAGAAAATGACATTTTAACTGTTTTAGAAAGTTGAGAAAATGACATTTCAACTGTTTTAGAAAGTTGAGAAAATGGCATTTCAACTGTTTTAGAAAGTTGAGAAAATGGCATTTCAACTGTTTTAGAAAGTTGAGAAAATGGCATTTCAACTGTTTTAGAAAGTTGAGAAAATGGCATTTCAACTGTTTTAGAAAGTTGAGAAAATGGCATTTCAACTGTTTTAGAAAGTTGAGAAAATGGCATTTCAACTGTTTTAGAAAGTTGAGAAAATGGCATTTCAACTGTTTTAGAAAGTTGAGAAAATGGCATTTCAACTGTTTTAGAAAGTTGAGAAAATGGCATTTCAACTGTTTTAGAAAGTTGAGAAAATGGCATTTCAACTGTTTAGCAAAAACGGTTTAAAGGGTAGGTGCAGAGGGTTGTTCATGGAATCGGCAATGTAGTGGGGTGGGTAAAGTGGGGGAAATGAAGTAGTGGCGCAGTAGTCTAGTAGTGACACAGGTAAGTCTAGTAGTGGCGCAGGTAAGTCTAGAAGTGGCGCAGGTAAGTCTAGTAGTGACGCACGTAAGTCTAGAAGTGGCGCAGGTAAGTCTAGTAGTGACACAAGTAAGTCTAGTAGTGGCGCAGGTAAGTCTAGTAGTGACACAGGTAAGTCTAGTAGTGGCGCAGGTAAGTCTAGTAGTGACACAGGTAAGTCTAGTAGTGGAGCAGGTAAGTCTAGTAGTGACACAGGTAAGTCTAGTACTGACACAGGTAAGTCTAGTAGTGGCACAGGTAAGTCTAGTAGTGACACAGGTAAGTCTAGTAGTGGCACAGGTAAGTCTAGTAATGACACAGGTAAGTCTAGTAGTGGCGCAGGTAAGTCTAGTAGTGACACAGGTAAGTCTAGTAGTGGCGCAGGTAAGTCTAG